GTGACTGGGAAGTTGTTTCATGGTGTGGCGACTGCCAGTGACTGACAGCGCAAACTTGACCCTTCCAACTGTTCCAATGCAACATCTCACAAGCAAGCGTTAATGAGCACAATGTAATGCTGAGGCCAGATTCACATCTTGAAGCAATGGTTGAAACTGTGCAATTTTCCACGTTACGAATAACAGAGACGTTGGCACACTATACCAAAGATCGGAAATAAAGTGGCGTTTGCCCTTATTTTACAAGAATACATATTTGTACTAACTCAATTCTTCCGAGGCCCTGTTAGTTCAGAACACGCTCGCTTGGTAAAATCGTGCCCCGTTTATATTCAAATATTTTGAATCATTACTGCAACTATGTAGGTTTCCACCGTTGGGCTGTAGAGCTCTCCGATGCATTTTCATCATCGCCATCACATCAGCGCAGATATTTTCATTCATTCCAGAACACGTGATTTAATTTTGCATTGACCACGGCGATATCCGGACACGGCTGTGATCCACGCGACAGGCGATGTCCTCAACCGACGAAGCCGCACTGTCGACCGTCTCTTGCGGCCACACAGCTCAGGCCTGAAATAAAAACGCGGTATCCCATTCCACGTGCCCTCCGTCCCCCACAGCACACTCGCCCAGACATCACCGGTGGAAACGGCGTTGTGGCTGACGTCCGCTTGCGTGGAACTTGCTATTAAAATCAGACAGGCTAAGTGGCTTTACACCAGTCACGCTCAACCACTATGTGTCAATGGTTCTGCCATCAGTGTGGCCAGGTTGTTCTCCCACGTGTATCCTTCATTCCAACGGAAAGTGGAGTCCAATTTTGCGTGACAATCACAGCCCCCCCCCCCATACATGGTGCGTCTGTGTGACAGTGAAATGGGCGAGCCTCAAATGAGTACCTGGCGCGGTGTGTAAACATCGTCACTGGAGAGACAAAGGCGGCTGAGCGTGGTGGTGACCACCGACCCACTTGGTGTGCCATGCCGGCTCCCAGAGGTGCTACTCGCTAACAGCACTTGCCCCAACAGTCTGTTAAGGCTATACGGGAGATCTTTGTCTCTGGGCGAGGCTTGTAGTGGGGAGCAATAGCGAAAAGTTGAGCGGTTAGTGCACTGGGCCACAAAACTTGGCGACCCGTGTTCAATTTCGGGCGTGGAACATCCGAAACGGTCCTCCAGCCTCCCCTAGGTCGATTGAGCCCTTAAATGAGCGCCCTAGTACGGGGAGCGTGTAATCATCGTAACTGAGGAGACGAAAGTGGCCAAAGCACAGTGCTGACAACTGCACCCCAGCCTTAATAGGTGCTCAATAATGCGCTCACTCGAAGAGCATGCGATAAGGATTTAACAAGAAACCCCATTGTCTTTGATTATGGGGAGTGGTGGTGCAGTGGTTAGCACGCTGTGCCGTGCTTCCACTCTACAGTCATCCTCCTTGCCGCGATGTCCTTTCTAAAAGCTCCGTACGTGTGTATTAAGTGCTGTACATGTATTGTACACGTGCGTGTACATGCTACGATCATAGTTTCCAGAGTTCGATTCCCGACCAGGGCTAACGATCAGCGTCGAGTGATATCTGAACAGGCTCTGGTCCTCCACTAGATCAACTCAGCCTTAGATAGGTAGCTCGTGCAGTGCATCAACATCAGCACTGGGGAGACAAAGGTCGTTGGGGACATTGTTCTGATACCACCACCACCACCACCTCATGCGCCATGCCATGTTCTGATACCACCACCACCACCACCACCTCATGCTCACTAACAGCACCTGCAACCAACAGCATAAAAAACATGGCTATATGGGTGAGCTGTGTATTGCTTTGCATGAAGAGCAGTCGGGCAGTGGTGAGCTCACCGTGCTGTGAATGTGGCGATCTGCGTTCCATCCCCAGCCACAAGCTAACATAAGTGGTGAGCAAAACCTGAACCACACACAAAGTGCTTGCCACATGAAACACAACACCTTGCTGATCTCGTCAAGGAGCATAATCCATCATGCGAACTCCAGTCAATCCTCGCAGCGGTTTTTGGCTTGGTGCCATCACGAGGGCCCGATGCCGTCACGAAGGCCCGGCGCCGTCACGAGGGCCCGGCGCGTTGAGCGGTGGGGACAGGCTGGGAATTACCGTCTAAAAAGGTTGGCTATGCCGGCTGATCGGGTAGACGCAGGATTTGTGTTCCCGTGGGATAATTACGTGAAATGAATTTTTCCCCATGCAGGGGTTATCGTACGTGACACAGCTCTTGTTTGTTCACTCGATTTCTCTCTCTCTCCCTGCCGGCGGAATAATGCTTATTGAGATTCGGTCACATTTTACACGCGACATGAATCCAAATGTTTTATGGATTTCATTGTAAATTTAAAGCGGCTTTTGACCGGTTTAAGCGTTTGGTGCCATTTTTACGATAACTCACATGACTCCCCATAACCTTCCACAGTTATGTACTTATAAATTATTGCCATTCAGGTTAACAATGCAATCAACAATACTCTTTTTTTTTTCCATTGCAATCAATGGAGCGGCCACTAGTGGCTTCAGAGTTCATACGAACCCATAACGTACAACATATATATGTATTGAATATATAATATTAAAACATTGTTTTTACCACTGTTATTTCAAACATATATCTTGATCTTTAGGAATCTATATTAATTGATTCATCCGTGCATTGTTACACCCCTAATGATTACTGTGTATTTCATCACTTGTTAACAATTAATACGTATGTATACAAAATTCAGTTGTGTCTCCACATATGAATATAATTATTTTACTTTACCAGCCTATTGGGCTTTCCACACCGACATTATCGAGCGGCGTTTAAGCAAGCAAATTCTGGACCAGGTTTCCACTTTTTGGGTCTCATCAGCAGTTAAGAATTGTTAAACAAATGCTGCCGAATTATCAGATGTTATTGGCAAGGGCACACTGTTTATAATTTGAATCCCCATTCACACTTGTAATTTTCTAATATAGGTTGCATCAATCTGCACATTTGTACACTCATTATTTTGTGCAAACATTACAAAATATAATAATGGGCGTTTGCTTCTGGCACGAAAGGCACTCCATTGTGAAATCCGCATTGACCCTGCCCTGCAAAAGTGAGTTGGTGAATTCGGGTGTTCGTTGCCATCTGACCACATCATCAGGTGTGACTAAGGTGCATGCTACCACACGGCACTCGTAATCGCCGTCCCATGAAGCCCTCCCACCATGCCCACCGTGCACGGCCTACGCACCTTGAGGTGACTCAGAATTGCTCATTTTGGGTGCAGTTTTTGGCATTTGCCAGTCACCATAATCTCCACCATCCCCTACCACACATATTCTTTGGATATTTCGGTAAAGTCACGTAGATGAAAAAAATAAAAATAACAATAATGAAAATAATAAAATGAAAAGAACTAAATTAAATCACGACGTTTCGGGCGCAACACAATTGTCCGTCATCAGCTTGTGTTGTGCCCGAAACGTCGTGATTTAATTTTGCTATTTTCATCATTATTATCATTTTTATTTTTTATCTACGTGACTTTACCAAAAGAACCAAAGAGTATGGATCCTTGAAGTCACGAAAACTTCAAATCTAGAACCACTACCACACGGTTGGGGGGGGGGGGGCGGTCTTTAATGGCTGCAAACAATTAATTGGTGGATACGCCGTGGTTTACACCACGTGATCATCATGGGACCTTTTTCTTGCCAGTATCAAAATATAATAATAGGTTTTACCCTTACTGGCAATAAAGCAGGTGCTAAGCTGTTAAAACACCAAACAAGAACCCTTTGCAAGGAATCAAATTTGCATTAACCACACACACGTGTGGTGAACATGCAAACAACAAAAACACGCTCTGGTAGTATATGATGATGCATCGTCTTTGAAACTGATTGGTCCACACCAGAGACAGCTTTCTTTAGAGCCGAGTCTCAAACAGTGTTAGACCAGAGGACGTCAAAAGGCGAACAGCACAAAGACAACGCCACTATCAGGACATTTATAGCTCGGGGTGAGCAGCTACAATATGGGACCTTTCTTGCCAGTATCAAAATATAAACCATAGGTGTTTTTTGTTTGCATGTTCACCACAAGTACTGTGTGTGGTTAATGCAGACATGATTCCTTGCAAAGGGTTTATGTTTGGTGTTTTAACATCTTATATGGCTGTCACCTGATGAAGCGAGTTGTAATTACTGGCAAATCGTCGCACTCAGATTGTAAATGTTGTGGCTTGGCTCTCCACCACACTGGTGTGGTGTACTAGTGACGAATTGGCAACTTTCTGTTTACGTGATAAACCTTACTAGTTGGCTGTGCCAGGTGGTGGCGGGTTTAACGAGATCTAACTAAAAGAAAACTGTATTATGGATGATATTGGTCGTGAAAGCCTACGTGTTAAGCTGTTTTCACATCTTAGCACCTGTTTTATTGCCAGAAATGGTAAAACCAATTCTTACACCACATGACCAATCTGCTTAGCACAAGACCAGCATTGATGGGCATTCCGATGGGCCATATGGGCAGAAGGTGGGCCTCACGTCGGCATGGAGGTGAGAACATTCCTTCTGTGGCCAGCGGTTAGCGATTGAGTTGGAGTGGCCATTTAAAAATGGGTGGTGCTGACGGAGGGTGGGGGTGCGAGCTCACCACGTGTCCCGGTTGAGCCTCCCGGATATTTAGGATCTCCAGCGGCCACTTCTGTTTCCGCTCGAATCGCTCATTGAGCGACGGCCACCGTCGTAGGGGGGGGGAAACGACCTTCGAACCCCGTGTCAACCGATCCCGGCGTCGCGCACACGCACACACAACAAGACAAAGATCCCGCCTACAGCCTTAAACAGACTGTTGGGGCAAGCGCTGTTTGCGAGCAGCACCTGTGAAGGCCCGCACGGCACACGAGGTGGGGTGTGGGTGGCCAGCATCACGCCCGCCCGCCCGCCCGCCTTTGTGGTGCAGGCCGCTCCCCTCGCACGCACGCACGCACCTCCTTGAGCTGAGTGGCGAGCGTGGCGAGTCGATCGACGTCGGCGAGGGCGTTGCTGAGCGCCGTGCGCGCCGCCTTGAGCTCGCCCTCGAGGCGCAGCCCCCGTGCCAGGTGCAGCGCCTCGCGCGTCGCCGACTCCTCCAGCAGCGTCTCCTCGCGCGTCTCCCCGTCCTCCGCCGCGCGCTTGTGGTTCGAGTACGCCTGCCCAAACGCCTGGGGGCGGGACAGGCCACACGAAGGCGAGTTCAGACGGACGGGCGGGTATCGGGGGGACGGAGGAGTTCGGATCGGGGTTGTTGAACGACACTCCGGGCAAACACGTGACCGCTTCCGTCGCCGATTACCGGTTAACGAAAGTTTTCAGGAGGAATGTAGCGACCGGTGCGCCGCTTGGCACAGACGTATTAAACGGCACAGCGGCTCAACTCATCGCGCGGCACCTTTGCCATTATTTCCCGGTTAAAAAGCTAAAGGTGCAGCCCTGCAAATTTTGCTCCCATGCCTCGTCACGCCAGAGGGAGCACTCGAGAGTGTATTTGGTCTACTCTTCCATGCTGACCAGACGTCTAGGAAGAGATGGCCGTACCCAAAGACTTTCCCCTACCGCACGTGACCTGGCGATCGACTCGCTTGCGATGCACCCATTGACGCTGCCATTTACAACCAGGCGGACAAACAACCAGAGAGAAAGACAGACAGAAAGACAGACTGCCTGACAAACAAAAAAAACAACAAATATACGGACAAAATGACAGAGAGACAGACAACCAGACGGACGGACAGCCAACCAGACACCCATACAGACATAAGGTCAGCCAGGCATTTTCCTCTAAAACTTTCACAGGAAACCGCTCATCGTGCCGGCGAGGGGAATGCAAAACACCTGACGAGGCCCTCCCCACGAAACCCAGACGGCGACAATCGCCCGACTGGTTGATGGAACTCGGCCAAATCCCCGCTCCTCTGTTTAAAACCGAGGCGCATTTGCCCACTTTGGCCGTGAAATTGCATTATTCAGTTTACAACCGAGCTAAGTCGGCAGGGACAAAAGCCCGACAATGCAGCTCAGTGGGCCTGTCCCCCCCCTTGACAGTATGGATTTACGAGTCCCCGAAGGCTTCCCCCCCCATTACATTTGCCCAGAACTGCACTCGCTCTCGACGGGGGCATTAAGAGCAGAACCGGCGGCTTCTTCTGTGCTGGTGCCATGCGAAGGCAGCTTGTGTTTGCGTTGTGCGCTCTCTGTGCCCGAGCGCGCTGCACATCACAAGCATCGTCGATGGCGAACGGGCCCTCTTTGCGATGCCATCAAGACAAATACCCTACCGCCACCCGTAAAGGGCCGTCCATAAATGACGTCACGCACCTGGGGGGGGGGTCAGATATTTGTGACGATGTGTGGCGAGGGGGGGGGGGGTTGAGAAATGTGACGTCACGTCAAAATGCGCAACTTTAAATAAATATAAACACGTTCTACTTCATTAAATAGACTTTTTCAATGAATGTTTCCTCCTACAACATCAGAATGCAGCGGCACATAAAATACGCACTACAATGACAATAGTTTTAAAGCGATTTGAAGCATGTTTGATTTTTTTTGGGGGGGGGGGGGGAGCAGAGCTTTGTGACGTCATATTTGAGGGGGGTCTGACTTTTTGTGACGCCGCGTGACGACGGGGGGGGGGGGGGTAAAAAAAATCGCGTGACGTCATTTATGGACGGCCCCTAACCTGTAAGGGGCAAGTGCTGTTAGTGAGCGAGCACCTATGAAGGCCGGCACGGTACACGAGGGGAGTGCTGCGGTCAGCATCGTACCCAGTTGTCTCCCCCAAGTGCTAATGTTTAATAAACACTGCAGTAGGTACACATTTTAGGCTGAGTCGACCGAGGGTAGACCGAGGACACGTTCAGATGATCGTCACCGGAGTTGGCTGCGATCGGAAATCGAAAGTGGGTTTCAAACAAGCAGTGGGCCAACCACCGCACCACCGCTCCCCACCACAATTGCGGCGCCCCCACATACAAACACAGACTCCCAGGAGGAAGCCAAAGCTCCCACCCCCCTCCCCCGTCTCTCACGTTGACAAATTAAATTCCACGAATGCCGATGCGAGCAAACTCCACAATGTGTCGGAGGGGCACGGAGGGGCACGGTGGGACGTAAGATTGTTTTCCTACCCTTTCTGCCAATTACATTTCAAATGTGCCATCACATAGTCACGTTACGAGACAAAACACACACATTTGCATTTATAAAGCGCGCCGGTTAGCAGCACATCATAATTTTGCGTTATAAGAATTGACCGCAGGATGACATCGCACAAACTACTTCTAAAATAACTTTATTAAGTCTCATGGCCACACGAGGCAATGCCCTTTTTATGTCCTAAAAAAAAAGAGCATTCCTCACGTATATTTCATATGTTTGAATTATTAGGACTGAAACAAGCTAATTGAACTGACAAACCCAATGTATTATTGCGAGTGCTTTTGTACAGTTAGGGACCGTCAACGCCCCCCCCGCCCACGTTTAATCACAGGGGGGGGGGGGAGACCAGTAGAACTAAATGAATATCAGCGGTGTGTGGCTCAGAAATCTGACACAGTCAAAATTTATCTCAGAGCCACCCAGCCACCTCTTGGCCTGAGGCAGTCTTAATTATGGTTGGGTCGCAAAAACCCGCAATTTGGAGCCCGTCTGTCTCAGCAGTGGCGGTTCAGCGATCCGATACGGCACTGGAATATCACCCCCTCAGCCACCCGGCCTCCTCTCGCTCTGCGGGACACTTTGGGGAGCAAGGAAGCTCGGAGTGTCTGCTTCGAAGCGCCTGCGGTCGTCCATGAGCTCGCACACATCAAGAGTTTCTGACCCCGACACCCCCGCTCTCGCAGACAGGTGCTGCAGGCAATCAAGAGAGAGCCCCCCCCCCCCCCCCGCCTGCTCGCTGCGTGTCGGTGCAACGGCCAAATTAGCGGCGGAGTCATCCACTGCATAGCCCTCCGCTACGCCTGCTCTTCACCGCGGCACGAGCCCCTTCCAGTACAGCGGGATACAAAGTGAGAAAATAAATCAGTTCTGATGCGGGGGTCTCGAGGAGTCAATTTGCATTTTGCTTTGACACGGAGAAAAAAAAATTACCCGGTAACTTTTTCCCTCTCCGACGCGCCGCGTGTAATACCTTCAGCGCCAGGTAAAAAAAAAATATGCCGCCGCCACCGCCATCTGCTCCGTCGGAGGAAACGAGCGGCAAGACCAGAGGCCCGCCGTGGCGGAGCCGAAATTCGGTCAAATTAGCTTCCAAAGTGGACCGGCGGCACCGCGGTGCTGCTGCGGAAAATCAACTCAATCAGCGGACAGCGTCGCGAGAAAAATGCACTAGGATGCTCCCTCCACCCCAACCGACAAATCCATACATTTTTTATCGGTCTATTTGAAAGTGGGTTACTGTGGAGGGGGGCATTGCCACAAAGTGGATGCTTTTCAACAGACGCCGGCTACCTGCGCTGCAGTGGAATACAAATGTCTTGCGTCTCGTAAAGAAGAAACCGGGTTCTGCCTCGGGCTACGGGAACTGCTGTCCGTGCTGATAAACATCAAAATGTGTGGTCGGGCGTCAAAATGCTATCTATCGCTTGCAATCAGCGTGCAGAGGTCAACATTAAGGGCCGCCAGGTCACGTGCAGGCACGCACGCGACCGGTTACAAACGACACAACGGAAGAAACGCGCGCGAAGCAAACAGGGCGCAACGCTGCTGTTCCAGCCGCTGCTTTTTTCGGCACGTGCCGATGCGTCGATTCGTCTTTTTTTGAGTTCGATTCTCTCGATTGCGATACGCGAATCACCCTGTGCGTGTTTTGGAGTGAATTATTCATGATTTATTCAAAACGACGACGTGCAAATGGTCTGCCAACGTACATTAAAGCGAACTGATGAAAAAATTAGAGGGCGAATATCACCGAGGGACATGACAGAAATGAAGCAATAAATATGATCAAGTAAAAGGGACGGCATGAAGGAGACAGGACAAGATACGGAACAAACATTACGAACAAAACTATGTCAATGACACGGAAACGGTACAAATGATAAAAAAAAAATATTCTCAAATCTTGAATCATGACATTTCAACAAATCGTTGGAGGATCAGGTGAATCTTTACACGCCTGATACTCGTTGCGTTCGTACATTATGCAGAGCGTGCACAGCTATTGGAGTTCAGCGACAGCTGCCTCGTGTGCGCGTGTCTGAGTATGTGTGTGTCTGAGTGTGTGTGTGTCTGAGGGCGGAGGAGCGACGCTCACAACAACGAGCGGAGCGCCGGGTGGCTAAAGCACAGCAAGTTGGCACAGTAGGGGGCACAGGTGGTGCATCAGCCGGTCATCTCGGTCATCTCGGTCATCTCAGTCAGTCGACCCGTGGCACCTGGGTCTGCCCCGTGACCTCCTGCCAGCAGGCATTCGACACTGGCGAATGGCGGTTGTTGTTGTTGTTGTGTGTCTGAGTGTGTGAGTGTCTGAGTGTGTCTGAGTGTGTGTGCGTGGAGCGGTGGCGCAGTGGTTAGCGCGCTGCGCTACGGCCAACACGAGTGACGATGATCTAAACTGGTCATGGGCCTCCCCTAGGTAGGCTCAGCCTCAAATGAGAATCCTGGTGCAATGTGTAAAACATCGCCACTAGGGAGACAAAGGCGGCCGGGCGTGGTGCTGACTACCCACCCCCTCGTGTGCTGTACCGGTCTTCATAGGTGCTCGCTAACAGCACTTGCCCCAACAGTCTGTTAAAGCTATACAGGGGATCTTTGTCTTTCGAGCAGTGGTGCAGTGATTAGCACACCGCTCTATGAACCCGACAAACTGATTTCTTTTCCTGGGCCACGGTTCACATTGGTGGCAAACAAATAAACCGGTTCTGGGCCTCCCCTATTTTGACCCGCGTCGCCCCTCTTTTTATAAGAGACGTTCGAGATTTATAATCGGGACATTTGTTAAACCACTTCGTGTGCACAGATGTAAAGACGTCAGCAATGGGTAGACAAAGGTGTCCGAGGCATGGTTTCTGGCCACACCACCCCCTCGTGCGGCGCCGTGGTCGGCCCCAACAGTGTATTAAAGGTTACACGGGGTGGGTGGGGTGGGTCTTTGCGCTTGGCGTGCGTGCGTGCGTGCGAGCGAGCGCGTGCGGCATTTTCCGCGCGAACGCTCCGGTGGGCC